ACCAACAAGAATAATAAAGTGAATAATTTTTTTCACCATTTTGAAACTAGAGAACAGAATCCGGGCCTGTCGTGGTATAATGGAACGTGAAATGTCAGACCTTTCAATTGCGATGTGTGAGTGGACTGTCAGGACGAAGCTTATGTGTGAGTGGACTGTCAGGACTAAGGTTATGTGTAACGTGTGAGTGGACTGTCAGGACGAAGATTATGTGTGAGTGGACTGTCATGACTAAGGTTATGTGTAACGTGTGACTGGACTGTCAGGACGAAGGTTATGTGAAACGTGTGAGTGGACTGTCAGGACGAAGGTTATGTGTGAGTGGACTGTCAGGACTAAGGTTATGTGTAACGTGTGGGTGGACTGTCCGGACGAGGGTTATGTGAAACGTGTGAGTGGACTGTAAGGATGGAGGTTATGTGTAAGTGGACTGTCAGGATGGAGGTTATGTGTGAGTGGAGGATCGATAATGTGGGGACATAGCTTTTCAATTCAATAGACGTGTATTTATATCAAATGAAGTAAGAGAAACTAGATAATTTCCATCTTAGGAGACCATCTCAATTTTCATATGCACAAGAGGCAATAGTGGAGTATCAAAGTGTCAACTGGTCGTTTCTAAATTATTATCAGTTCATTTTTATAGGTTAATTTCTCATTTGGTGCTTGGACATTGCAATATAAACTTCGTCCTGACAGTCCACACACACATAACGGAGGTTATGTGTGAGTGGACTCTCAGGAAGAAGGTTATGTGTGGGTGGACTGTCAGGACTAAGGTTATGTGTGAGTGGACTATCAGGACTAAGGTTATGTGTAACGTGTGAGTGGACTGTTAGGACGAAGGTTATGTGTAAGTGGACTGTCAGGACGAAGGTTATGTGAGAATAGATTGTCAGGACTAAGGTTATGTGTAACGTATAAGTGGACTGTCAGGACGAAGGTTATGTGAAAAGTGTGAGTGTACTGTTAGGACGAAGGTTGAGTGTGAATGGACTGTTAGGACGAAGATTATGTGTGAGTGGACTGTCAGAACGAAGGTTATGTGTGAGTGGACTGTCAGGACTAAGGTTATGTGTAACGTGTGGGTGGACTGTCAGGACGAGGGTTATATGAAACGTGTGAGTGGACTGTTAGGATGGAGTTTATGTGTAAGTGGACTGTCAGGACGAAGGTTATGTGTGAGTGAACTGTCAGGACGGAGGTTATGTGTGAGTGGACCGTCAGGACGAAGGTTATGTGTGAGTGTGGACTGACAAGACTAAGACTGTCAAGACTAAGGTATGGGTGGACTGTCAGGACGAAGGTTATGTGAAACGTGTGAGTGGACTATTAGGACGAAGGTTATGTGTAAGTGGACTGTCAGAACGAAGGTTGTGTGTGAGTGGACTGTCAGGACGAAGGTTATGTGTGAGTGGACTGTCAGGACTAAGGTTATGTGTGAGGTGTGAGTGGACTGTCAGGACGAAGGTTATGTGTGAGTGGACTGTCAGGACGAAGTTTATATTGCAATGTTCAAGCAACAAATGAGAAATCAACCTATAAAAATGAACTGGTAATAATTTAGAAACGACCAGTTGACACTTTGATACTCTCCACTATTGCCTCTTGTGCATATGAAAATTGAGATGGTCTCCTAAGATGGAAAGTATCTAGTTTCTCTTACTTCATTTGATATAAATACCCGTCTATTGAATTGAAAAGCTATGTCCTCACATTATCGATCCTCTGAGCTAGTAGGGTAGTAGTAGGGAGTAAATGAAATAGTTAGGTCCTTAACAGTTTTGCTGACAAGTTCATGCTTACGCATACCCAAATATTCATACACCATCTTTCCAACGTTCCTTTGATATCTTCAGAGCTTCAGTTATCTCGATCAACTTCACTTTGCGGTCATTAAAAAATTTGTCGTGAACTTTTTCGATGTTTTCGTCGGTAACAACCTCTCTGAAGCGTCCTCTGCGTGCTTCGTTCTTGATAATGAATCTATTATAAATGGATCTTTTTTTGCTCTAAGACAAACTTTTATTTTCATTGACAGTTCTAAAAGAGTTGTATTCCGTTACCCTTCGAGAATATCCGAAACAAAAGTTCTCTCAACTCCCATTATTTCATAGAAAATGAATTGAATTTTCTGAAAACAGATTCGAATGTCAACAGTTCCTGGATTGAATCAGGTTTAAAAGCACTTTGGCCTCAGAGTTATGAGTAATGTCCATGATATCTAATTGGAAATGAAAATATAGACAAGTTAATCATTTTCTTTGTGTAGGGAGAACTAGTTGGGATGTTGAAATTATTGAATTTTACTCCTTGGCATGATTCATTTTTGAACAATCCAACCCTCCTAATTGAAATTTTATTTCAGAACGGGATCGTCTGAAACCCTGCCCTCCTCCCAAACCATCACCGTCGCTTTCGCCGGGATATGACAGCAGAATCTACAGAGACCTACAACTGACTCCGGAAATGTACAATCAACTCAGAGGTCTTCAGAAAAAAGCCAAAGATCTTCGCGCTGAAATGAGGAATTTGAGGAGGATGTCACAGGCACAGGCACATTCCGTGAAGGAAACCGTACGAGATACTTTTATCAAAATCAGGGCTATGTTGATGGCTGGGGGAGAACAAGTGTGGCAAGCAGGTGAGTCAATATTCGGTAGTGAATTTTCATTTTTCATAACACTGGTCAACAAAATTTTAACCGTTTTTTGTCACATGAAAACTTATATCAAACTTTGAATCTACTAGGGTCACTAACCAATATTGTATCAATGAAAAAAAAATTACGCAACAGGTTTTTGTCTTGACATCAAAGCATATATTTTGGTGAAAATTACAAAAATCAATTATACTCATTATGATGTTCCTAAAAATTTGTCTTCTGCTAGGTTCCTTCTGAGCTTCCAACAATAATCTGCTAGCATTTCTGGGCTCAATTTCCATTGATAACGCTTCTCTATGAAGTGAATGTCCTAATGGAATCTCTTCCCTTCGTCACTCACAGCACCCAAATCTAGATGAGAGTCAAACATACTAATAATGTCAGATGAAGCTTTGGAGTGTAATGTGTCCTAACATAACACTCCAAAGCTTTATCTGACATTATTAGTTCCTCTATCAAGTCTTTGTGTTTTTCGCTTCATGATTTCCTAGGAAATTTTGGACAACAATCACAAAACATTTCCATTTTCTGGCATTTAATTCTCCTTCAGAGCTCTTATCCTCCATAAGTTGTCGTATTTGTGAGCCTACAAATATTCTCCCTTCAATTTTCGCATCGCTGAGTTTGGGTAATTTCTCTTTCAGATATAAAAATCCACTGACATTTTTGTGCATACCTCTTACAATTTTTTTCATCAGACCGAGTGCAACGGTGGTAGAAGTATGTCATCGGTGTTCACTAAAGGTTAATTTTCAACATTATTACGGCCTGGAGTAAGTGACTCACGCTTGAGCCACATTTCATTTCAATAGTGACTTTTTCTGTCTCTGCTGTCCCATTCGCAAATAAAACAGCAAAATTGTGGGTAATCAACATGTAGTCCAAGCAAATAATAAATAACTTTTAAATCGCTACAAATTTTCCAAGCGTGTTCACTGTATTTGATTTTTTCAAGAAGAAATCTCATATTTTCTTCATGAGTCTCTTCCAGCAGAACCATGAGCAACTGGCACCGAAGGGTGTTCATTTCTGTTATGCAGCAACACTGCTGTAGTTTGAGTAGTTTGAGAAGTCAATGAACAATCGCCAGTGACTTGGATCATATTCAAAATTCAATAAATTTATCCCAACATAAATATTATGACAATGAACTAAATCATTTACTATAGAAAAGTAAGCTTTTATTGCATCGTCACAATGTCGAAAATAAGTAACTTTTGAAAGTAAATTTCCAGTCCTTTAATCTAGACCCTAAAAGCTCAGCCTGTTTTTTAGACAAATTCAAATCGCGTACTAAATCGTTTAAATCACTTTGTGTTTGCGGTTCATAACTTGGGTCACTATCTTCATATTCCTCATGCAAACAAATTCTTCCGGACTGGAATCCCAACTTTTTGGTCAATCTGGGGGCTTCGGCACAAGCAGTTCAGGACTGTGTAGGATGGGTCTGTTGGCCGATGACAAGTTTGGATACTGGATAGTATGTTTGGACTTCGTTGTAATGCCTTTTATTTTTGTTTGACTCAAAAAGCCCAACCTAATAGGAGTCTCACACACGTTACACAACATTTATCTGGGACCCAGAATTTATCTTGATGCTGCACAGTAAATCCAAAATATTCTTAAAAGCACTGTTCAATTAATGGGGTGAAATTTCGACGCTGGATGCTGGAAATTTCGACGTTGCATATTTGCGATGTACCTAACGAAAATAAAATGTATATCAGCTGATGCAATAGTTATACAGCCGCCTAAATGACGTATATTAAGTCAGAAATGGAAATATAGCTGTCACAAAAAAACTGGTTGTGATTGAAACAAAATTATTATATATTTATAATAGGGGTAGGCCAACATAAACATCATAAAGTTCATGTAACAAAAACACTATTGACTTGTGGAATTCATTCATTAGTTTCTATTTTATCTCCTTCAAAGTAATCCCCTCAGATATAATACATATGTGCCTGCGTGTATTTCCAATCTTTGTAGCAATTCTAATATGCACTTTTTGGTACGTCCTTGAGCTCTATCAGGAGGATGAAATTTGATCTTCCTCTCGAAGATGATCACTTGGTGGCCGAAACTCGTGTCGAAGTGTTAAAATAACGGTTTGGAAAAAACTCCAGTAATATTTATTGTTTGTTTGTATATCCTTTCCCATGAATAAATCAGATGATGATTTTCAGCAAATTTCGGCATTCGAAAAGTTGTTGTTATCGATTTAATTTTTAGTAATTTCGTATCAACTGTTATTTATCAATTGTAGGTATGGATCAAGAAAGGGTCCGACTGACTAGGGAAGAAGACCTTTACAAGCAGGAGATGTTGAGGTTGGAAAATGACCTCAGTGAACTCGAGTCGACTGTAGAAGAGCTTCGAGGAAATGTCATTAATCGGAAAACACGCGTGAATATGTCTGACGTGGAGAATATGGCGCTCATCTTGAGTAAAAGTTCGAAGACTGTAGCAGATTTGAAGCTGAGGTGAGATGGAGTTTCCAACTCGAGAGATTTCAGCTGACCTCTTAGATCTTACAGAGTTTTAAATTATTTTTCAATCAGTATTGTTATCGTCAATTGTGGTGCAAATATTTACAGTAACTCGATGATTTAGGTTTCCCGGTTTACAAGATGGAATGAAGTCGTTTTTGACAACAGAAATGGAAAAAGTTATGAGGGAAGAGAAATTTCTGAAAGAAGAGCCTGAACGATTGGAAAGTGCTCTAAGAAGGTGTAAAAAGCTAACTGGTACACTGGTTACACTCAAAAGGTAGGTTTGTAATGTCTAGTTCTGATATTTTCTCAATCTACTGAATCTCATCCAATATATATTCTCTTTCAATAGTAGAATTTATGGCAGAATCAACAGGATTCAAAGTTTCCTTTTCTTCTCTCGAATGAAATGAAAACTACAAGGAACTTGAATATATTTTCTTTCCATATTTTGTCTTGCTGGTGAATAACCAAAATTCATAATTTCATAAGCTAGTATTAAGACTTCTGATGTGGAGATGACTTCAAGAGAATTGTATCTATTCTGGTGTGTGTGTTGGAGAAATACCTTGCAAACATATTTTTTCCCGCTCAAAAACTGAAACTCTCATAGGAAAACACTGAGAAATTTCCCAGGGAGTGTTCCACAAATTGCAACCTGAAAAATGAATAATGTATTAACCTGTCGTTTGAAGTTCACCATGAAAAGTGTTGCAATTCTGGTTTGTGGAAGAGTTACGTATGTAGATGGTCCAAAGGGAGTGAGTCTTCGTCCCTTCGCTGCAACACACAAGGATTTAGTGTGGCTAACTCCTCTCGAAACTCGTCCAAACAAATACCTGCAACTTCTTCATTAAACCAATTAGCTTCTTCTGGAGAGTTTACTTTCAGGTCAGATGACTTTGGAAAGTTAAGTTTCAGGTCGGATGACAAAAGTGATGGCAAGGGATGACAAGGGTTTATTGTGGATCATTCCTCTTAAAACTTACCCAGATGAATACCTGCAACTTCTTGATGGAAACAATTAGCTTCTTCCGGACAGGTCACTTTAAGGTCAGATGACTTTGGACAGTTGAGTTCCAGGTCAGATGGCAAAAGTGATGGCAAGAGATAAAAAGGACTAATTGTGGCTCACTCTTCTTAAAACTTACCTAAATGAATACCTGCAACTTCTTGATGGAACCAATTAGCTTCTTTTGGACAGTTAACGTTCAGGTCCGATGACTTTGGATAGTTAACTTTCAGATCAGATGACAAGAGTGAAACTGTCAAACCCTGAAAATGTTGTTCGGTCCACGGCGGGACAGGCACAAACAGGAACGGCACTCATTATCTTTCAAATGTCCAAATCTCTCCACATGGTGATTCACTGACTAGGCCTGTCAGATAACGAAACTCATCACCGCTGTATTGGAATAGGCCAATCCTGGCAGTTCTTTTCGGAAGTCCCGAACTCTCCTTGTAGTCGACGTATTGACTGTGTTTAGCATAGCCTGAAATGGTGCGAATGACAGGTTTTGATATGATGAAACTGCTCACAGTGCCCTTTATTGCAAAAGAGTCACCGTCCTAATCACTTTCCAGACCAATATGGCCAGGAATTCAGACCAGACACAATTTCTGTGTGCTTCTATTGAGGAGAGTCATTTTTGGCTGTTCACTATCAACTTGGACATTGCTCTGTGGAAGTTAAGTTCTTACCAAACCGCTTAGCTATTCGAGAATATTTTCATTGATTCATGTGTGAGGCAGCTTGACATTTCTGTCCTGTTAATACACACCACCACACCCGCACCAAAACCTGAAGGAGTTCTGTATATGTATCTGTAGAGTAGGGAGGGTGAGTGTAGGCCCATTCTACATCCTCCCGAGGAGTTGTTCTTCTAGATCATCTTTCATCCTGTCCTTTCCAGGAAGGTGGACAGGTCACTAGGAGACATCTCCTTCATATCAACAGGTTTAGGCCAAGACTCGCAGAACATACACTCTCTTATTGACGATAACTCCGGATACTGGCATAAGACATGCCTGAAGGAATTTTTGAACCAAGAACTATATGTTCTCCTCCCTCTCTGCTCCAAAATGAGGCTGTATAAGCAGGTCGTAGTTGACAGTTGAGACATTACGTTGAGAGTCATTCCCAGAACGACGTGACTTTCAGTGTCACCAGTCGTTTACTAGGCTTCGAACAAGCCTATTTTCTGAAATTGTCAATAGGAACAATCCTGTATGTCGTCCATCTCGCATCTCTTTCCTGGGAGATGTGGAGAGGAGGTAGGTCCAAAAAAATTCTATGGTCACTGACTGTCTGGTGCTGATGTCATCAGAGATAGCCAGTTAGCCTGTATCTATGAAACACAAAGACTTCACCTGAGCCGTTTGCTGCAAAGCTTTTCCACCAGGCAATTGCCTCCATACGTGTCTATCAGTCATCAACATATATCCAGCTGAATTAAGTGAAGATTTCCCTTTGTGTTGAAGGGAATGTTCATAGTTTTGGTGTTATTCACAAACATCTCTTTCCTGTAGCACCAACTATGAACATCCAGCATTCTTTAGTAGATAGTATGGGCTATGTGGAGAGGACAAAGTCATTTGTATTTGTATAAGAAGGGCCAGTGAAGGAGTGATGCCCCTGTTCGAAGTCCTTTACATTCTTCGTTTCAAGTGAAGGGTATACGAATGCCCCATCAATCATTAATTGAATATGAATCACTGCTGAATTTACAGGGCATTACATTACTAACTATATTTGGTACGATAATTTTTCTTTCATTATCATTCATGGGATTATTCCACCTCAACTATTTACCCGATGGAACAATACGATTTTATTCTCCAGACTGGCCAGTGTTCAAGAACAAAGGCTTCCTTGCTCCAACTCCAATGACGGACGCCTTTCGCCTACATCAACGGAAACTCCTCCGGTAACTCCATCGTCGACGCACAGCAAGGTGAGGATTTCACTTCCGGCAATGATTCTCTCCACTAACCCGCATGTGATTGTTGTGTTGAATCAATTTATATATTATATCATATTGGGGATTGTAATCGACGTACTGAATTAATTCGATCAATTTGTATCGCAATTTGATTTGTAGGAGTATCGGATAGTTTTATGGTGTTGATATTTTACAGTTGTGATCCCTCTGAGTGCGAAAAGGAACTTCATTTCTCAATAATTGGAATTGAAAAATATTTCATGAAATTGTTTTTCAGAGAAAATACTTCGAATATGTGTTTTCTTCACTGGCAGATTTGGCGTTGATATGCCAAGAGATTTAAACCAAACATCCTTATGTACAGTGTCACTTAATTTTCAGAAATATTCCTATATTTGAAGTGGAAGGGATATATTTATGATGAAAAGTGTATAATGACTGATTTGAAGTCTCCAATCAAATACTCTCCAAGTGTAAAGATTCTTGAGGTTAGGTTAGGTTAGGTCCAAAGTGAGTAGGTCTATTCAACCCTCCACCGCAACCCGCAAGGGTTCATTGTGGCTCACACCTATTCACACTCGATCAAATGAACCCAGCTACTCAACGAAGCCTATTAGTTTGTATGGTGAGTGGTCTTTCAGGTCAGATGGTAACTTTACGGATCTGCCGAAGTCTAAAAACCTGATTCGGTCCCCAGCGGGGCAGACAAAAAGTATATACTCCGGTGTTTCATCGTTATTGAGGTAGTCGGATAGTCAAGGTGCAACAATTCCACCTTGATATCCACGACAACCTTCCCATATGAGGGTTTTTGCACGTCAGCTACACCTGACGATGCCTTAGATTCAACCGTGAAGGGCTTTTTCGCCTATAGTTTTGGTGAATCATGACTTGAGCGCAAACGTTTGCATGGGGGATTTGTTCCTCCACCTGAGACAGATTCTGCGTACGCCGCTCAAGAATTTGGTGCAAGACGGATTCATTATGTACCCTGCTCTTCAGGAGACGACTCAGTCGTTTCTTGGCTGCACCACCAAACCTTTTTTTTAGGTTCAGTTATTGGATCAGGAGTTGGAGAGTTGAGAAGCTCTCGCTCTTGATCTCTGAATTCACAGAAAGGTCAGTTGAAGTCGTCAGCTCGACATCCATCTCCTCTGTAGACTCGCTCCTGATCTAAATTTACAGGGAGGTCAGTTGGAGTAGTAAGCTCCATATCCATCTCCTCTGTAGACTCAGCGTCAGAAAGAATTTTTAGGTTTACTCTGTCCATGAAATTCTCACGAGTAGCTGGGGAAAGAAGGTCAATCACGGCAGAGCCCCGCATTACCGTGACAAGGCGATGCTACGGCAAGATGGCGCCCGGTATCTCGAAGGTTCCGTAGAAACAGCTGATAGGCTCAGTGTCATTCATCCTCTCGGGACGGATACACACACCTTAGGATTAAGCCATCGTTGGGATGCCATTCAGTTAGGGAATAACACAAGTGATTCTGTCATTTCCGTATCCAGCGGGGCTTCGTGGAAGCAGGCATCCGATGGCCGGTTTGTTCAACCCCCACATCCCAAGCCAATGCACTCGCCAAAAACAGCATGCACAGTGGTTCAGGAGGTGAAAGATGAACATTACTCGAATTACTTGATACTTTTATTGGGAGAGAAATGAAAGTAATGAGAATGAAAAGAATTCGATTTATTACAAAGTTGTTGAATTCAACAATGATTCACCTAACTTTGATTTGTGAATATGTCCTCTAGAAGTGGTGTTTCTGTATAGGTACCTATATACAGAATGGGGAAAAGTATGGAAACCCCTAGAAATCTCACGAAGCCAAGATGAAATTAAAGAAATATCACATTCCCACTAGCTTTCAATCAGAATTTGACTTTTTTTGCAAATGCAACTCCTAATCTCGATGCTGGAATCAAAAAGAGGGAAAAATGTTACAATAACATATGACTAGGGTTAACAGAACCAAAACAGGAACCGAATAAAGATCAAAATCCCATACCATTCATATCATGATGTTTCTTTCCTCTTTAAATCACTGAAAAATATTTACTGAAAAATTATGTGGCTAATTGACTCTGGAAATAGAAATCATTATTTGTTTTCACCCTTGATCAGAATATTAAAGTCAAGATATTCACATTAAGTTTCGTTTCTGATATGGCGGTGAACGGACGTGCCGATAACGACCGTTCACAAAGAAGGTACGCGTACGCCATTGTTGGAGATGGAACTCAGTTTGTGTTGTGATTGTCCGCTGTCTTAGAACGTGCCACTATGAAAATGAAAGTCTTATAAGTGTTTAAAGAGAAATAACACTCTCATTCACGCCGGTTGGAAGCCAGAGTGGACCGGATGTCCACGTGGGAGTGCTAAAGTGAATTTATTCAACACCTACTCCTACTCACGCCGGTTACAGGCCAGGTTGGACTGGATGGCCACGTGGGAATAGGTTTGTACCAATCATACGAAAGATATGTGTGAAAAATCAAAGAGTCTCCATAACAGGAGGTGACTTAATAAAAAAAAATGTGAGTGTTTTTCTAATAAAAAGTTCGCCAAAAAAAGGGGTGACAGCATTGCTTTGAGCAAGATCGCTGCGCCTCACCGACAAAGCTCCCGTCAATTTTGATAAATGAAGGATGGACAAATGCAACGACCAGTAAACCTAGAGGGAGACATTTCATTTCCGGAAGTCTATTAGATTTCTTTTTGAAAATTACTTAGGTTGTTTTTTTCGTTCCATCATCGAACCTCTGAGCTCGAATGTTCTGTTCTGGATTTGAGTATCTCAAATATTGGTCTTCTCATTCTCAAACTAATTTCATTTCATTATTAATTCGATTATTTATCAATGTAACATTGCGAGTTGATAACGAACCTACTGTCGCAAGCAACATTTTGTTTCCCGATTTGTTTTTTTCGTACACAATTATGAACGAAGGACACAACTGAAAAATATCAACACCAATCTATGAATATACGAAAATATAAATTGATTCCTTTCTCAGCGTTTTCATTGCAGAAGAATGCATAAATATCAATGGATTCTAATAAGGTGATTTTAAAAAATGTACAAGCATTTCCAATGTTACCTTAGCTATTGACCTTTGTCCCGTCCATCCAGATCAAATTTGTGAGAGAGCATCGAAAATTTGTTCACACTGTATATATCCAATGTGGTACCATGAATTCAGATGTGGAATGAACTAGCCGGAAAGAAATTTTGAAAATTCTAGTACCATCTCACAGATATGATCCAAATACATAGAATAGTATTTTTCTCGCTGTAGAAAGCATCTTGTTTCATAAACGCCTTTCCCAATTTCCAACCATGTAACTATTGACATAACCTAGAAGTTTTCAAGAGTATTATTGGTACCAACTCCCTCAAGGTATTATTGTATCTATTGTACTATGTCTGAGTATACTGTATATCAAGTGTAAATGTTAGATATAGTTGAAAATCTATTATGAGTATATCATGGCTTATCATCTCTATACCCACAAGTAATATCACAAACATTGAGACTCTACAAGTAGACTTTGGAGATACTTTCAACAATAAACTATTTTCAGTCCATTCGAGTTCGTTTTCTATAATGTGACAAGTGGCCTACAAGATTTCTCAAAACTCGAAGATTGCAACGGTTTTTGACTTGAGACTGGTGCATAATTCTACATTTGCTGTAAGATCTTTCAAAAATCAGTTTTGACAGAGTCCTGATCGTGAATAAAAACGATTTGTCAGTACATTATCAGAATCGTGACTCAACAAAGTACAAAGGCTATTTTCCTTTCCTTTGAATCAATATGTGAAAATTCTAATAGCGTAAGATCAGGTGATCGTGCTAGCCATTCTGTCCCTTCCTTTCTGTTGACCGATTTGGAAATTCTATACTAAGGCATAGCCAGGCAGTACTTTGATAATGTTTAGTACTTCTGACTGCTGAAAAAGACCTCACAGCTCTGTTTTGATCTGGCATAGATCTCGTCAGCAGAGTCATCATCGCCATCACTTACTCAATATTGTTCTACTCAGGGAAATTTGAATAAAAGTTCAAATGTTACAACCTAAGAAATGAATAACGTATGTCCCTATTAGTTGAAGTGGTACACTTTTTCCTTGGAACTTGACCGAATAAATACCTACCTACTTTGAAGTCAGATGTCGAACTCTAAAAACCTGAAGGTAGAGTTAATATTTGATGCCTCAGAGACCTTACAGTTTCGATGTGGCATAATTCTCGTCAGCAGTATTTTTGGTTCATCGCTTTCGGATTCTGGATTCTTGTAGTATCTAATTGCCTGCTTGTTGTTGAAGCTTTAGGGAGACAGAAAGCAATTTCTCATCCGAAATTCGAAGGCAAAGTTGAGCTTTGCAGACTTTAGATGCTCGTTTATTTTTGTATCCGTGGTTTTAGTTTTCTGTCGATCCTGTAGCTGGGGTCTTCACAAACAGATTCATCACCATCATCTGCTCAATATTGTTCTAGTCAGGGAAATTCGAACAAAAGTTTGAATGTTACAACCTGAGAAATGAATAACGTATGCCCGTGTCAGTTGAAGTGTCTCACTTTTCTTGAAACCTGACTGAATAAATACCTACAGCTTCTCTGATGAAATCAATCAGCTTATTTGAAGGGTTAATATTGAAGTCAGATGTCAAAATTTCGAAACCTGATTCGGTACATAGCAGAGGAGGGATAAATTAAATACTTTGCCGCTCCTTCATCTTTCCAACATCCTCCCACTCACTTTCTTTCGATTGTCTAAATTTTCCCTCATGATGATTCAATGAGTAGATCTGTCAGGTAACGGAGATCATTTCTGCTGTAACCTATCAATCACTTGGTAATATACTCCCAAGGATGTATGACACTGAAATTGGCCAATTTTGCGGTCCTCGTGTTCAGTGTTTGTTTGACAAAGCCCAAAACGAACCACATATAACATCTCTTCTTCTGAAGGACTCAGTGGACCAGACCAATGCATATATTGAAGA